GTTAAAAATCCATACAAACTGGAGATTTAATTTTTACGGCCCCAGCTTAATTGAAAATGCCACCCCTCCTATTGAGATCTCATGTGGAATGTCTTACAGCTGCCAAGCCCTCCTCCTCACACTCCTTTTCCTACAGCTCTTTTTTTTTTTAGTTAGCTGTTAGTGCAGTAACTCCGGGCAGGCGTTACCTCTCCTCACCTGTAGCACAGCTTGACGCCTCACCGTTCCCCAGGTGTGGTTTAACAACAAAGGCTGGCATGCCCTGGTCAGCTTTCTCAACGTAGCCCACAACGCCATCTTGCGGGCCAGCCTGCGCCAGGACAGGAGCCCCGAGGAGTTCGGCATCACCGCCATCAGCCAGCCCCTGAACCTGACCAAGGAGCAGCTCTCAGAAATCACAGTGTAAGGCCCCGGCCCCCGCCTCAGAGCTTCCTTCTCACCTCCTGGTTGTGGAGCCTGGAGAGGTTCTCACTAACATGAGTTGCTGGATAAATGGCACAGACGAGCGTCAAACCTTCAAATGCTTCCTATGCCAAACCATTGTACGATGCTCCCCTGCCGTTGTTTGGAAAGTAAGCTTTTCTTTGGTTTCTTTCCCTTTTGGCTCTTGATAACAAGTTGCTCCTGGAGTGCATACAAACATTCCTCTTTCCCGTATGCAAGATGACTGCCAGGAGGGGGGAAAGCTCCGTGAGTCTTTCTTTCCAAAAGTAATTACCTCAGATTCCAGGCATTTCCCAAAGACAGGACTTAGGGGTGCTAATATTCCACACCTTCCTCAAGCCTTGGCTCCTGCTGCACGGGTTCGGGCAGTATCGACATCAGTGTCTGGGTTCTGTAGTATGTTTGTTCTGTGCGAGGCCTGTATGGGGTGGGGGGATGCCACATACAAACATGTCAGGGTCCTCGTTCTGCTGCCCCGGTGTGGCTACCTCAGCAAGCTGCTGAACACACTAAATCTGCTGGAACTAGGCCCTGGCTCCCCGAGGGCTCCCTCGGACACTTCTGAGGCCTGAGACAGGATGTTGGCTCTCACTCAGCCAAGTTCTGTATCTCCTCCCAATCCTTTTGAATCTGAAATATGAAACAAGGTATTTTTATGATTGTCAAATAGTGTAGATTCATAAAATAAAGTTTATAGTTTTAAGAACTTATTATCTAGAGCCCTACGTAGGTTGGGGTGTTTCCGCTAGACATTTTTGTGGGTTTCCTTCCAGTCACTTGTCCTGTCCTCTTCTGTGGGGACCGTGGTGCCTGTGACTTTGTCGGCATGACTAGCACCTGTGGTCCCTCAGTGGACATCGGGAAAGGATGCCCCCTTTCTCAGCAGGCTGCCCACACAAGGGTCACAGTGGATTTCAGCCCCCACAGATGCTTCTTCCTGTTTGATCCAGAAAAGGGCGAACAGAGCCACGGTGCCCTGTAATGGTCTTGTTCTCTTTTCACTTAAATTTATGCCCATTTTCCCAGTTTGTGATATACATCTTGAAAATATTACTTAACAAGAGAATAATTTTATTTTTTTAAAGATTTGTTTTATTGATTTATGCATACGAGAAATGGCGTTCAGGCCAAAGGTGCAGAGAGTAAGGAGGATCATCAGAGACAGAGTGGGGAGTAGAACAGGCAGATCTGCTGAAATACACTGCTGAGGGGAGTAGCAGTGGGGTCAGGAGAGGTCTGCTGTGCCATGTGGGTCAGCTCCCTGGCCGGGGATCAAACTTGTGCTCACTGGCTGGTGATAGCTTGATAGTACTGAGATTTAACCTCTGGGCGCCAGGGAGGCCCAATAATAATTTTATTTTAACAAAACAACTTTCACAGACTATATGGTCATCTACTTAGAAAATTCAAAAGAATCTAGAGACAAATTCTTAGCACTAATAACATTGCAATTTATGTGATGAAGATAAAAGTCCACCTCTATAAAAGTTAACAAATAATTAGAAGATAAAATAAAATTTGTCTAGAGTTTTATGCTCCATGTAAACATGAAGCCATAGTCCATGTAACACTTATTTTAACATTCAATGTTAACATGGACAGAAATTCTCCAAATAGCCACTTAACCTTGATTAAGACCATAAGTTTGATTTAGACCATTGAGTGGAAAAACAAGTCGGCCTGGGGGAGGGGGTTCTGGAGCCGACCCCTGGGGCTGGGTGAGGGCTCTCAGAGCTGGGTTCTCCCACTTCTGCTCCTCTCCCTTCATCTCCTTCTCCCTGTACCCCCTGTCTTGCTGCAGGTTGACCACTTCGGTGGATGCTGTGGTTGCCATCTGTGTGGTTTTCGCCATGTCTTTCGTCCCAGCCAGCTTTGTCCTTTATCTGATCCAGGAGAGGGTCAACAAAGCCAAGCACCTCCAGTTTGTCAGTGGAGTCAGCCCCTCGACCTACTGGCTGAGCAACTTTCTCTGGGATATGGTAAGTGTCGGGTCACGGGCCTCCCTGGACTCCCTAGGTGACTCACAGGTGTGAGTGGGCCCCTGTGTCAGCTGCAAGGGGGCATGGTAGGGGAGGGACGGGCGGTGACAAGGGTCTTGTGTGCCTGCAGTCCCCGGATACCTCCTTAGAAAGTCACAAAACTAGTACCCCACGCCGGGGAAGGATGTGAGACTCAGCAACTGCTGAGTGGGGGTCCTGTGTGCCTTGCCTGAGGAGGTCTGCAGACCCACAGAATCACGGCTGCACTGCAGGCCTGAGTCCAGGCTGCAGGGAGTGGAGCAGATGCTATGGGGAGATCTGCTTCTTCTCCAGGTTTCCATTTGTTCATTTGCTTATTTATATACCTGTGTAGAGTTATGGTTTCTGCATTAATAGATTACAATCTGATACCATTGTTATTTATCGTGAAGTTCAAGTTATCCTGTTTGGCCATTAGGGCCCCTTCAAGCTGCCATCTGTCTCCCTGACCTGTGTCCCTGTCCAGCTTGAGTATCGCCATGTGACAGACCCAGCAGGACATTCCAGGCTCATTCCCCAGCTCTAGCTGGGGATTCAACCATCTCCCCAGGGAGCCCTGGCTCCTGCAGTAGAAAATGCTGCTCAGAAGTCAAGATCTGGGTGCTAGATATGTTTGCTGCCACCGGGGTCCTAAAGGTGCCACTCCTTAGTGGAGAGACCTGGGAGGTGTGTTTGAACAGGCGTGGGTATGCACAGGTTTCCACCTTCACATCTCTGGCTACTGAACACCAGGTGCTCTAAAACCTCTCATTCCAATTCCATGCCACAGGCTCATTCTGGTTTCTGGTAACTCCCTGAGGGAGAAACTGGTTTCAGTTTACCCACCTGGATAATGCACCTGTGTGTGATAAGTCCCGTCTTTCATCACACCCCCTCCCCTGTGGACTGCCTCCGCCCCTGCCCCAGCTTCCCCTGCATAGAGCTCCTCCTCATTCTGCTCTGACAACCCCACCAGCTCAGTCCCCTAGAACTGGAGCCCCAGCCCGCCACCCCAGCCCACTCCCTGTGAGAAGCACGCCCCACCCTTCTCACATTCTCATTCCGCTTGGGAGCACTGTGACTCCTTCCTAAGCCCCCGTGGCTGCCCCCCTCTGTCCCAGCTGCAGGCTTGAGGACTGAAGTGTGTAGGAAGGGACAAGCTGGGAGAAAAAGATGAAGGCATGTCATGTGGGTGAGCTTTGCGAAGGCTAGCTTTGCACTTTTTCTGAATTCTGGATGCTTAGAAAGTAGAATTAACAGGATTTCATGGCTTGGTTAGAGTGCATGAGCGATGAGACAGATTTTAAAATTTTTTCTTTCAGAAGAGATAGACTGAAGGGTCCCTGTGCATGAATGTAGGGTGGGTGAGGAGGACCAGGAGAACTAAGGTCCCTTAACTCCTGATTGCTAATCAAGAACAGAGTCACACCGTAGAGTCAGAATCCCAGCATGTGAGCCAGAGTTGCTGAGCCAGCTGTCACCTGACAAAACAGGAAACAGGCACAGAGAGGTCAAACTCTGGCTCTGCTCTCCTCTCTTCAAGATGAACTATGCTGTGAGCGCCGCCCTGGTGGTGGGTATCTTCATCGCGTTTCAGAAGAATGCCTACACTTCTCCAGACCACCTTCCTGCCCTCATAGCTCTGCTGGTGCTGTATGGGTGAGTTGTTTGGGCCGTAGGCTAACGTCCCCCAAAGGGAATCAGGGGAGGGGTATGTTCCCCTGACAGGAGACCAGGGTTTTGGTGGCAGAGGGGGCATAAGTTTAGCTCAGTCTCCCTCAGGGGCCGAGGCTGCTACCCTGGAATCTTTCTGGCTTCTGTCTCTCACCCAACACATGAAGGCATTCCTGAGACCAGTCTGCTTAGGGACGATGGAGAAACCTCACAGTGTCTGAAGTGTGGCCTGACCCAAGTCTGGGAATTCTGCGTCCTGAATTCTTCACTCAGCTATGATTCTGATTCCTTTGTGGCCTACATCTCAGTGTGTACTGGCCAAGAGTTATTTGCATGTAGTAGAAGATTCCAGCTGAAAAGCTAGTCCTGAGACAGCAGAGGATGACACCATAGAACACAGAGAGAAGCTTGCAACGTATATCCAGGCTTACTAGATCCGTAACTGTGGGGAGTCATTCACCCTACAGGGTCTTAGTTTCCCCATCTGTAACATGGAGATAATGATACCTGGCCTTTCTTTTGCCACAGCAGAGTGTGCCAGAGCAGCGATCTCCATCCATCTCCCTTGGAAACAGGGAACTTAGAAACTAGCAGGACTGACATGTGTGTCCCTGTGGACTGGGAAGACGAGCCTGTTGGGGACTCAGCTCTGCTTGGCTGAGGCAGACAGGAGCAGGAAGCACAGCAGGGTAGTGAGTCCTCCCAGGCACTGTTTAAGGCTCATTAATCTGCATCTTCTTTGCTCCTCACAAAACTCCATGAGGTGGTCAGGGCAAGTGTTAGCATCTCCATTGAAAGAGGAGAAGCAAAGCTCAAGGGATGGCCTAGCTCTGGTTCCCAGGTCTCCTACCAATTTAAGGTGTCACCTCTAGTGTGAGGGGAATGCATTCCATTTCAGCAGGTGAAATGGAAATCCGAGTTCCCCCCACTGAATTGTGTCATTTCATACAGGTGGGCAGTCACCCCCATGATGTACCCCGCATCCTTCCTGTTTGATGTCCCCAGCACAGCCTACGTAGCCTTGTCTTGTGCTAATCTCTTCATTGGCATCAACAGCAGTGCCCTCACCTTCATCTTGGAATTATTTGAGAACGATCAGGTAAGCATGACTTTCTTGGCGTCCTTGTTCGATCACTAGGATGCTAGAAAACGCACAAAGGCCAAGGAGAGCCAAGAGCCAGCATGTGCCTGCACGCACTCACTGCCTAAATGATGATGCTTCCTCCCACCCTCTGGCCTTCCGCTCATGCTATCCTGTCTTCCTCCTTAACACCTTCCTTATCTTTTTTTTATTTTAAGCTCTTTGTTCATTTATGTGCCCTGAGAATCATGGTTTTCTCAGCTGCATTTGTAAGGTGTAAATAACCTACCATGATCCCAACCATTTAGATTTGTTTACTCCTTGAAGAAGGTTTCCTTGGGGACTTTGGATATTAGGTTTTATATACACATGTAGGTAAAAGATTCACGTGAGACAGCTATATCTCCCACTTCCTTACATAAAGTATAATATACTTACCATAAGTGTTCTGCACAAAAGTTCCTCTTGATGACAGGTTTAAGAATCTATGGTCCTAAATGACTTATGTTTATGAGCTGTAATGTCCAATTGTCCCATCCACACCCAGACATCTCCCTGGACAGATGAGATAATGTGAGAGAAGGTGTGGACACTGAACTGGAAGGAGGTTATGGGTTAAGGATGTGTCTAATGGAGTTGACGGCACTTGGGTGTGGTTCTGCCCAATACTCCCAAGGCCAAGGAAGCCCACCTGAAAAGAAGTTCCCTCCTATCCTGCCCCACTCAACAGACTGGGCACCAACTGGGATGGGAAGGTTCATGGCAAGGCAGGTTTATATGGGTATGTTCACCTCATCGGCCCTCTTGACTGGGCAGTAACAGCAGCCTCTGGGACCTGGGGGAGACTGGGGGTTCCTGCAGCATCTGTCTATCTGATCCTCTTTTCTGATGGTGACAGCAGTCACTCACAGCCATAGCAACCTAGTAAGGAGCTGAGAGCAGAGCTGGGAAGGGCTTGGGACCTCTCCCCTTTGGGACAGTTGGGTTAAGAGAGAGCCCATGAAATTGCCCCATCTCCAGGGACAGCTCAAGGCTGCACCAAGAGGGAGAGACCCCAGGTCATAATCCCAGCAGCTGCTGTACTTCCTGGTGACAAATTCCTGGAAGAACTCATGTACAATTCCAAAATGAGTTTTCAGCAAGAGCCCTTAAGTAGATAACAGGAGAGCCCCACTGCTCCAGGTTCCCGCTGTTGCCCACGGTCACCTCAGGCTTTATAAAAGCAGCCTGGAAGTCCCTCGTAATCAACCATGGCACCGGGCATAGTGAATCTGTAAAAGAGGCCACCTCACTAAGAAGCCTCCTGTAAGTACTCCAGGTCTCCTGTTATCTGCCTGAAAAAGTCCCCCTGCTGGGCCCCCTCTGTATTCCTGCTGTCCAGCCCCAGAAGGGCATCCAGGCCCACCCTGCTCAGGAGGGCAGGGCCCTCGCTGCTGACCATCCTGCTTTTCTGTGTGTCAGACCCTGCTCAGGTTAAACTCCGGACTGAGGAAGTTGCTCATCATCTTCCCCCACTTCTGCCTGGGCCGGGGCCTCATCGACCTGGCCCTGAGTCACGCTGTGACAGATGTCTATGCCCGGTTTGGTAGGTAACTGTTGGAGATGTTAGAGCTGGGAGTGGGGTGTGGACACCGGACTGGTCTGGGTGTCCTGCCGCCTGGGAGGGACAGGGCCACTGCTGTTTCCTTGATGGGGGGAGGGGCTCCACCGGACGGAGGGGTCAAGGGCATATTTCCTTCTTCCACATTTGGACTTGAGGAGCTAAGTGGAGCCTCGAGTTTGACTCTCCCTCAACCCTGTGCAGAAAACCTGGTCTAGCTGAGTCTGGTGGAGCCAAGTCTTTCGGGATAACTGGGGCCGTTGAAGTGGATTCATCTCCCTTGGCCTCCCTCCACAGGTGAGGAGCATTCTTCAAATCCATTCCAGTGGGACCTGATCGGGAAGAACCTGGTAGCCATGGCGGCCGAAGGGGTGGTGTACTTCCTCCTCACGCTCCTCCTCCAGCACCACAGCTTCCGCACTGGTCGGTAGGTCTCTTCGATGGCAGCTGGCTGCACAAATCCAGGCTCTGAGCTTCACAAGCCTGGGATTGTCTCCCTCCTTTTACTCCAGGGGGTTTTCTTACCTCTTCAGAGCCCAGTTTGGGCTGAATAATACAAGAAGGAGAAACTGGTTGAAATAGACACCTTAACATTTGTGCAGAATCTCATCTTTAACATAGTGGAATACCATGTATCTTTCATTTCTATCAATTGCGATGGAAATGATCAGTTGCAATCACCAATATTTAATCCTCATGTACACTTCCTCGACAGAATAGATAATTATTCAAGGTAAATTGGATAACCTCACAAATGACATTGGTTCAGAGGTATTCAAAGCACTAAGAAATACATCTACATCTGTGCAGTCACACGAAAAGAAACAGCAGGTCACCTCTGTTCATTTAAAGTGGGGGTGATACAGGACAACCCACTGTGAACTGAGTTGCCAGTCTGTGGGTCCCCACCCACGTGCTTAAAATTTAGTTGTTCTACAGGTACACACAAAAGAGTCAATAATGGGTTTATTTACAAAGGGGAGAGAAAAAGGAACAACCCAGGGAAAGAAAGAGAAAGATAGAGATACAAGTTAACTAGAACAAGTTAACCAGCTCCACTGACTTGGAACTCCAATAGCACACTAATAGCTCATCAAGAGTCAAGAGACCAGCCACCAGTCACTCTGTCCAGTGAGCGCATCTAACATGGCTCCCTTATATATCCCCCAAAGTCCCAGAATGCCTGCTTAGCTCTGCTCTTGGGTCCTCACAGTTCTCTCCTTGGTATTGCTGGGAGTTGTCATTTCAATAATTGGAGTAGGGGGTGGAGTCCACAAAACTCCTTTAGGACATCCTTCCTCCTAACAAGGGCAGGAGAGGAGGGGGTACTGCAGGGTGATGTGGGAGGAATGGGCCATCAGTGGGGTGGCAGTGACCATGAGGTCCAGGGAGGTGACTGCCGCCTGACTCTACCAGCCTACTCAGTGGTGGCCCCAGCCAACTCTGCCCTTCTGCCTGAGGCTCTTGTCCCAGGTCCTGCCTCATTCTGCAGTGAGCACTCCCTTCCAGAAGGCAGCCCTTCCCAGATCCAGCTTGACCATTGCTGGGTTCAGTCCCCAGCCTGGATGGCAAATCACTGGGCCCTCGGGACAAAGTTTTCTGGACAGTGTCCTGTTTCTTATCCTTTCATCCACTCAGGCAAGTCTGGTCACATTGAAATAGAAAATCCAAGGATTCGTATTTTAGGCTTTGATCCATAGGAACTGAGTTGTTGGAAATGAATCTACCTCTCTACTCACAGGGTTGTGAGGATTGAGTGAGAAGTGGCATCGACTCCCTTTGAATAGAAAGATGTGATCAGGCAGCAGTTCTGGTGATGGGAGACAGGGGGAGGAATCACTGCCCACTCGGTGCTGGACCTCACAGGCCCCCTCTGTGGCTCTCACCACATCTTTCCAATGCTTTGTGAGAGGGGAAGGAGCAATTTACCAAAACAGACTTAATAGCCTCAAACTCAGATGCCACAACAATGGAGTGAGCAGTGCCTGCATTGCCCTGAAAGAGAACCAGAGAAGCATTACAGTGTCTGATTCTAGAAGCTCACAGCCCTGCTGGCACTGGCAGGGTCCGAGCAGAGAGGAGGATGGAGAAGGAAAAGTAGAGGACGTGACTTGGCTGGCTGAGAAAGGTTGGGGGGTTAAGAATGGCCAAGGACTTGGGGCTTAAGTCTGAGGGCTCAGGGAGCTGTCGAGGTGCTTCAACCAGAGCAGTGGTCTAGGAGGCCAGACAGGAGCCCATTCCAACACACAGACCAGTACAGTGGCCACCTGGACAGGTGGGGGCTGGCAGGAGAAGGAGAGAAATATGTTGATGGATTAAGTCATCAGAATGTGTTAGACAGGGCTTAGTGGTAAGCTGGATGTGCTTGTGGGAAGAAGGAAAGACTCCAGGTAAGGGTAGTCAGAAAAGGTTTCAGAGAAGAGGCTGTGTACAGAAGGATGGCGAGGGTTCTGTTTGGCAGAACAGCAGGAAGAGAACACTGGGGCACTTGCAACACTGACTGCAAGTTAGGAAAGGCCAGCACTGAGCTAGGGCCAGGGTAGACCAGTCAGGTGATGGAGAAGTTAGTGCCTGAGCTAAATGGCACCACAGGTGGGAAGATGTGGGCTTGATTGCAGGGTTCTGAGATTCCAGCTGAAGACTTAGGGCTTAAACCTAAAGCTGATAGGGAGCCATGAAGGGGTCGGGCACTGGGTGACCTGACGGAAGTGTAGGCTTGTCTGCTAGTAGCCATCATGTACCAGGGTCTACGGTCAGCAAAGTATTTCAGTGATGATGACACTACCACTTTAGGTTTTGACTTTGCACCAGACCCTGTACAAGCTCCTCTTCACTGCACTTCTGTGAGGAAGACACTATTAACCTGCCCCCGCCTCATGGTTGAAGGAATGAGGTTGACCAACTTAGAGACATACCAAATATCAGGCATAGGGAGGCCGGGACTGGAACTTGGGTGGACTAGAGGTGAACTCGTGCTCTGTCTGGCTCGGAGCCCTCCTGAAAATGCCAGCCTAAGGGGATGCTAGGTCAGGCTGGGACAGAAGCTCAGAGTAGGAAGAAGGCAAGTGTAAAGGACAGTGTCAGGGTGCGTGACCAGCCAGACCTGTCCCTTTCCTTCCTCTAGGATTGCAAAGCCCACTGATGGACCAGCCGTAGACGAAGATGATGATGTGGCTGAAGAAAGACAAAGAATTACTAGTGGGGGGAATAAAACTGATATCTTAAGTATAAATGAACTGACCAAGGTAAGGGAACAAGTGTTGTGTGAGGGTGCCAGTTGGACCCACAGGTGTCATAAGGCTGTCACTTGCTTTCCATGGAATAAGTGATAGGCCCATGCAAGGGACTGGTTTCTAATTTCAAATGGGGCTATCATCTCTGAGCTAAAATTGCCTTTGAAGAACTGTAGTTCCACTGTGGTTTCCCCAGTGCCTAAGGATACACAGGCCTGGCAGAGCCACATCAACAGCCCAAGGCCTTTCCCCACTCTGCCCAGTGGCACAGAGGAGACATTTAGGGATCAGAGCCTTTCTCTAAACACCCCTGTCGATGTGACCTTCTAGTCGGTAGTTTTTGCCTAAGCATCCTTTGCTCACTCACTCTCTCCCCTCCCTCCTCAGTTCTCAGCCCACTTTCTCTGGATCTTGCAGATTTATTCTGGAACCTCCAACCCAGCGGTGGACCGGCTATGTGTGGGGGTCCGCCCTGGAGAGGTGGGTATCCCGGGCCACACCTGAAAGAGCTTCAGAAAATCAGCTCCCACGTGTATGTCTTCCACCTACCAAAGCAGAGCTAGCCAAGTGCACTAAAATGCAAGCCACTTAGGTCATCTAAGTTTTTTTTAGTAGCCCCATGAAGAAAGTAAAAGAAAACAGGTGGAAGTAATCTTTTTTCTGTAACTCAATGTAGCTAAGATGTTATCACCTGACCATGGAGCTAACACATTATTAATGAGCTCTTTTGCATTTTCTTTTATGTCTAAATCTTCAAAATCCATTGTCAGCACATGTTAATTTAATAAGATGTTTCCAGCAGTCAGTAGCCAGTAGAGGAGAGGAAAACACTCTTTCCTATTTCCATCTGCGGGGCTGGGTTGGGGCTCTGGAAATTGAACCGACAAAAGACATGAAGAAAAGAAACACGGAAGCCTGTTGGCCTGTGCGCTCTGAACATACAAGGGAGTCAGAGCGGAGTGGCTCAAGGGCTCGTGGGAGCCTGGGCTTCTGAGCCGTCCTAGCAAATGGCGGTGTGTTTTCAGAGAGGTGGCACGACAGGACAGGGACTGTGTGTGTGGGGGGGGCAGTGAACTGCAGGAAGGCAGCTGTGTGGGAAACTTGTGGTAGATAAAGTCTAGTTAGTGATGCTTGTGTGGATTTCTCTGGCGCCACCTTCAAGCTGATGAGGATCTAAAGTTGTCTTCAGCGGTTAATGTTTGTCCTTGCCAACAGAATGGTACGTGGGGGGACTATTTGGGGACAACACATTTACATAAATTATGCATTTCTGTCCTGCGTTTAGGCAGATGGGGGCCAACAGTTTTTCTTGTAGCTGCTTCTTCCCAGTGGCCTTCAGCTCAAATCCTCCCTATAACAGCGTGGCCTGTCCTGGGATGGCACGCTCTGTCACCCCCGCCACATGTGGCTTGTGGCCTCTATAGTAGAAGCACAAGTCTAAAGTTCCTCTCTGTGACCCACACACTTGCCCCAGTACCTGACATTCTGGGCTTTTTTGAGCTCTAGGGTAGGCCCAATTCTTTGTGCTGTCCCTCAGTGCTTCGGCCTCCTGGGAGTGAATGGAGCTGGAAAGACAACCTTACTGAAGATGCTCACCGGAGACACCACCGTGACCTCAGGCGATGCCACTGTAGCAGGCAAGAGGTGGGTGTCATGCTCGTCCTGCCTCAGGAGGTCTTTCACGGTTCCAGCACTTGTCCCTGTCCCAATACAGGGACGTGAGCAGCAGACCCAGGAAGATCTGTGCAGAGAGTGGGGCCTCCCCAAAAGCACAGTCCACAATGCCCAAACACCACCTTTGTCAAACTCCTTCGAACTGTGGTTGCGGAGGCCCCTCTGTGAGCCGGGAGTCCAGGAAGCTCTGGCACTAAGTCAGTGGTTCTGCATCTTTTCAGGGCATGGACTGCAGTGGAATCTGATGAATATTTTGCACCTTCTTCCTATAAAATGCACCATTGTGCCTGTTACCTCCCTCCTGTTTTTGTAGTTTTGGTGGAATTTACTGGTCCATGGGGGCACATTTATGACTCTGTGAGAACCCCTGGGCCCCAGGTGAAGTATCCCAATGATAGAACATTTGGTCAGCTTTCTAGGGCTTGAGGGGCTTTGGAGACCTTAATCCTCATTGGCTTTCTGTGCTGATGTTTGACTTTTCAAGGCTAAGGAAACTGTATAAAGAAAAAACTGGCATGTTTCTTGGATTTTGGGGGGTGCCCACTGCTCCCTCTAAGCGTTGTGCATGTTTCTGAAGCAAAATGGGAGACGAGAAGAGGAAGCTTCTTTATCTCATTATCAGAAGCTTCTCCAGCCCAGCTCTGTGGTCACCTCTCTGTGAAGGAAACTTGCTAATTGTTGTCACTTCTCCCTGCAGTATTTTAATGAACATCTCTGAGGTTCATCAAAGTATGGGCTACTGTCCTCAGTTTGATGCAATTGATGACCTACTCACAGGACGTGAACACCTCTTCCTGTATGCCCGACTCCGAGGTACACCACCAGAGGAAATAGAGAGGGTAAGAAGTGGTTTTTGTGGCCATTTGGGATTTTGATAAACCATCGGCCAAACTCATAAGTGATTTACTTAGAGGTGAAAAGCTGGCACATATTCTCTATCTACAGTCCCCAAATGCTTCCTGAGCACCCACTGGTGCCAAGTACTGGAGCAGTGAACAGAACAGACAAAAAAAATCCCTGCTCTCATATCTCATGAAACCATGCATGCATCAGCTCTGCAACCCAGCAATCTCACTTCTAGGACTTTACCTGGAAGCAAGCACCTCCCACAGAACAAAATGCATATGCATAAAGTAATGATCCTCGAAAAGACTGAGAGCACTGCATTTGCAATCGCATAATTCTAGAAATTACCTAAATGTGCAGGCATGGAAGATTGACTCATTTATGGTTAAGGCACACACTCGCATCTTATGCAACTCTACATTAAAAAAAGGGGGGTGTTATTTCTGAGTAGAAAAAGAAGTACAAAAGAACACATGTAGAATGCTCCTTTTTGATCTAAGAAAGTGGAAAAAATAAGAATGCACACAGATTTCTACTTGCCTTTCTAAGCAGAGACTCAGGAAAGATGATCCCTGAGGCCGTGGCTGGTGATCACCTAGAGGGGTTGGGGGCCAAGGACTCACCTCTCAGGAGGTGGCCTAGTATAGTTCTCACTTTTGGAAGCATGTTAATGTTTTATATATCCAAAAAAATGTTCACAAAAATAAGAATGGAAAAGGGTTAAAGTGAAAACAAAAAGGGAGTCCTAACCCTAAAAGCAAACTGCAGCAAGCGAGTCCAGCTTTGCTCAAGTGTCCTGACAGAGAGAGGGACGAAGAACAATCGCTGCTGGCCACAGCAGGTGAGTCTACGCCTTGGTCTCGGGACTAGGCACACAGGGAAAGAGCTACAAACAAAGTAGCTCTTTCAGCCATAATGCCTTTTATTATAGCATCACAAAGCCATTCTGAAGGGACCTTCCATGTGTTACAGAATTTAGTTAATGATAAATACCTTCATGTTGTTGGGGGTCAGAGTTCACATTGCAGAAGAAGAGACCTGCAAACATCGGAGGGAAGAACAAGAAAGACCCCATGGGAGGGGCTGAAGTAGGAGATTGTCGTGAACTCACGCAATGTTCGTCTGTGTGTGTTATGTGTGTGCAGGTGCAGGTGTATGTTGACAGCTGCCTCATATGCCCACGCACACATATGTCTGTGTTCGTGGATGTGCGTGTCTGTACTCTGAAAGAGCCAAGACATGCAAACAGCCCAATAACAATGAGCATGTTTGGTGCTGAGATTTTGGTCTCCAACACTGAATGGAATCAAGACTCTCAGATAAATGTCAAGCTTCAGGACAGAGTTATAAAGTTATGGCAGAAAGCAAAGAAGTGCTTTTCATTTAAAAACCACAGAAATTTTAGGGTCATTTCTCAGAACACAATCTTAAAGGGGTTCCCAATGGTCAAATAGGGACATCAAAATAACTGATACCATAAAAAGTTATAAACCATTGAAGGGAAAGTGGGAATTCACAAGTTCATACCACTAAATAGATAAACAGGAGAAAACTGAGGGTTCTTGCTGAAAGATAAATGCTGAGGGCCAACTAATTAATGAGGAAATCTTGGCATTGGGCAATCATTTTGCAATGCCATAATAAAGATTGTTTCCACAAGAACCATCAATAATTATTAACTGTAGGGGAAAATTTCTATGAGAAGCAAAATATTTGTGTGGTTTAAAAGTATCTCCTTTAAGTTGTTAATTGGTTGTGATGGGGGAAGCATAATAATTTTACAATGGAGAAATTAGACAACCACTTAACTAGGTTATCAAAATTAGCCTCACCTATGAGGAGCAGATGGACATACTCCTACACATGATATCCTGAGAAGAACACAGACACACATCGAGGACCTTACCCAAGCAATACTCTAACTGGAAATGTGTAACGTGAATTTTATCATGAGGAAACATCAAAAAAGTCCAAAGAGGCACATTTTATCAAAAAAAAAAAAAAAAAACAGGAACTGCATGCTTCAAAGTCATAAAAGAAAAAGGCTATGGAAATATTCCTATCACAGACAACTATGTAGCCACAGTACATGGATAAGGAACAGGAGGCTGCATCCTGGAGTGGAGGCAACATAACACTGAGAAAGACATTGTCAGGCCAGTTGACAAAACCAAACATGAACAGTAGAGTCACGGTATGATATGAATACTGCTCATAGACTAGCATCTATGAGTAGATGGTAGATAAAGGTGTCAGGTTAAATACACGACCGTTGGTAGTGGTGTGTGATTACCACAGTCAGAGTTTTGAGATGTAGGTTACGGTTATATAAGAGACTATCCCTACTTTTATCTTTTATTTGTAACCCCTGAAGTATTGAGAAATGAAGGGTCATAGTGTATAACTTGCCCTCAAGTAGGCTGAAACAAAGTGTGTGTGTGTGTGTGTGTGTGGAAGAGAGTATCAGGTTTATCACTGTTCCTTGGGCTTATGGTTCTTCCACATTTCTGTAAATTGGAAAACATTCCAAATAAAAAGAGCATGCATTCTAGCAGGAGGACAGACAATAAATAGACATATGAGTCATATATACAGAACACTGGAGATTGAAAAGTCCTTAGGGGAGAAATAAAGCCGGGAAGGGTTGTCGGGCTGGCGTTTGCACGCTGAGCTGGGCAGGCCCAGGAAAGGCTCACAGAGGAAGTGGCTTCTGACTGAAGGCCTAAGGGAGTTGGGGGTTGAGGGGTGGCCATGCAGATAACAAGGGCGAGAGCATTCTAGGCAGAGGATCCAGGAAGTGCAGAAGGCAGAAGCGTGGCAGTCTCATCTCTGATGACGTCCTAGTTCTCTCCTGTGCACAGATGTGCACATGGGCAGAGACACACAGTATTCTCTAGCAGTTTCCTGTGTCCTCAGAGTACTATTACGACCTGTCTTCATTCTTTCCATCGCACACACTACCCACCCCCCTGCACCCACCTGTGGGTACAGGGTGACGCCTGTGTTCACCAGTCATTGGTACCTAGGCTGGGGGCTCCTAGCGGATGCTCAGTGAGTGTGTGCTAAGTGCACAAGACCTCGCGTGTGACCCTGGTAGGTGGGTCAACAGGCCTGTGACCCCCTCATCTTCTCGAACAGGCTAGGACTTGACCACTCCTGCTCCCAGCATACGCCAGGTCATGAGGCACTCGTGAGAGGCTTCATCTGCTCTTTGTGAGACCGTTTCTCAGGGGGCCACCCCCATTGGGTGCAGGGGAGATGCCGCCCCTGA